TAACAGTACAATAGACTGTTTTCTACTTTAGACAAAAATAAATTAAAAAATAAATCACATGTTTGATTCAGGAGAAATAGTTGTAAAATATAAACACAGTATTGTTAAAATAATTTTTTATCAATTTCTTTATTATTCTACACATGTACTTCAGGTGGCTAGAAATGCACTCAGACTGTTTTTTTTTGTTTTTGTTTTTTTTTTAATATTGATAATGAAATGTTGATATTTTGTCCTGTCTGACAAATAATATGGAAGCTTGCACTGACGGCAGCTCCACCCTTCTCTGAGATTTTTCTCTTCACTGATGCTCCAGCCAAAGATGCCTATCTAAGAAACACTATTGTTGCTCTTACAGAGAGCACAAAATCTGAGGTAAGAATTAACTTTGTACCATCCTTGCTCTTAAATAATGCAATACATTTTGGCATGTAACATCTGGTTATTTGTATATCATTTGTCTCAAAATAGAAGAACATTATCTGACGTTTGGGTGCTTCCTTCCTGTGCTCCTCCCTCCTTTCCTTTTCATGTTTTCATCACCTCTTATGGTTGTCGGGTCTGGAAGCTGCTGCCCCTAACCTAGCTCACTGATTATCATTATTCTTTCACCTTCATTATCAAATAATGTTTTTCATTTGCATTTAGGCTTGTGGTCCTTGATATTGAATGGAACTTTTGAGATTTTTTTCCTCGTGGTTGCAGGTTACTTTCATGCTCACAAGCATTGCAGCTGGCCGCCGCCGCCGCAGAACCTCTCAGGGTCTGGCTCCTCGTGCAATGAGCCAATTTGATTTCCAGTTATACCGAGACTTAGCTCAGTCTTCTGGAGGTCAGGCCATTCAGGTCACTAAGTCAGAACTCTCACTGGCTACCGGTGTTATAGTAGACTCATCAGCCAGTGCTGTGGTAAGAAATGAATCAAGAGAATGATATCTGACTGAAGATTTGTGAGTACGTGTGATGTTTTCCTCCTTGTTCTCTTAGGTGACAGTTCTTCAGGCAGCTGGGAATCCTGGACGGTCAAGCAATTTTGCTTTTGCTGTTGATGGCTCATTAAGGAACATAAAAGCTTACATCACGGGAGACTCACCTCTCACCTTCACCCTCACCAGCTCCACAGGTTTTGTCATCACAAATGTCTTTTTATCCTGTAGAAAATACAACACAAATAAAAACTCATTTATGCAAATTATTTTACATATATTTTTTAAATTTTATTTAATAAGAAGCTTCTCGAACCACATATTTTCTGGCAATTATTTCATGGTTTAAGGCTTTTAATTCTGAGGCTCTTTTTGATATTTTGTTTGGTTTTAACCTTTTATTTCTTACGGAGTCATTTTGAAAATATCTTTATGATTGTTTGTATCTCCTCTCCAGGTGTTTCTCAGACTTCCAGTCAGTCCAGTGGTCCTCTGGCATCCTTCACCACAGCAGGAAACATGCGTCATTTAAGCCTCAACACTAATAATCAAACGGGGCTTTGGCAAATCAGTGTTAGCTCAAGTAAACCTTACTTAGTTAAAGTTACAGGTCAGTATTATGAAAACTCATTTTTAGGCTCTGAGTTACATCATGTTTTTTAAAAAATGTATTGACTAGGTCTGTTTCTAATGTTAACTTGCATATTCCAGCCTTTCTGATCTATTTTATGTATCAGGTCAAAGTTCAGTGAACTTCATTTATAACCTTGTCGAAGAGCATGAGGGCGCCCATGGGGACTTCAGTCTAAAAGAAGGACGTCCTCTGTCAGGTCAGGCTAGTTTTATAGTGATTTTCATAGTTTGTGAAGTTCTCTTGTGGTAGACGTTTTTTTCCCCACACATACATACATACACAGCCATCTTTAAAACAACAGTCATCTAAATGTAAAAAAAAGTTTTTACTCAGTCTCCCAAAGGTTTATGCTCCATCATGCTATGGTTAGTAAAGTTCAACCTAAACAATCCTTTCCCATAACTTACCTTACCTGCCTTTTTGTGCAGATTATGTTTGCTTTGAAGGCATGTCATGATGATGCTCCTTGTTATCTTTCTCTCTTCACCACTCTTTTAGGTGGTAATGCCAGCATCTTGGTCACTGTGACAGGAAGTGACACAGTAAAGGTCACAGATATCACACTTTTTGACAACTCAGGCCCAACAGAGGTCAAAGGATCATTGCAGGTGTGAGGCCATTTATCTGACAGATAAGGCTTGGTTGAACTTGGGTCATGCAACAGGGCAATAATCCCTAGTGTCACCAGCACATCTACCACACTATGGCTGAAAAAGAAAAAAAGAATGTGTTGCATTGGTTCACTGGAAGTCACGAGCTGTGCATAAAAATAAATGAACCGAAGAAACATTTATTTGAAATTATACGATTACTACCTAATAAAGAGATGTTGTTAGCATTTAAGAGTTTAATTAAGATTGTGTGAATTTATATGGAAGAAGTTTTATTTTCATACAATGAAGGCAGCCATTTTGCCACTCTATT